AACATATTTAAGAACCCATAAAAGATTTTCTAAACAAAAAATTTATTTTCTGAAAATATTTTCCAGATATTTGAACAGGAATTTCAATGAGGCAGCAAGATCTTAACTCTAATCCTGGCAGAGGCTGGCTGCCCTGAATAGCTATCCTAGGTCAGCAAGGTTGCTGCTGAAAATGCAACTGCAAATGGGACTAGTCCTTTGGGAGTCCCATAGTGAGACTGGGAACCACTCGGCTTTGATTTGTGCACATCAGTGTTTTTAATAAGTGAGAAATCTGGACTGCTGGTGAATGAAAGTCATTATTGCTGCGGTTGCCAGAGGAACTGGACTTCTCAGTGGCAGAGTCTGTTTCTTTTAATTTTGTTGTTGCTGTTGAGAGGTGGGAATATCAACTTTGTGGAAGACTTACTGCATGTCTTCCAGGAGAACAGTTACTCCCATTGGGACACAAAACTTATAGACTCTGCAGGATTTATGTGACATCCCCTTCATCCTTGGAGTCCTTGGGGTTCTCTGAGCTTGGTTGTTTTCTTGCAAACGTTTCGTTACCCAGTTAGGTAACATCTTCAGAGCTAGAATGGAGTGGGGTTTGCTCTCTGTTTATATGTGGTGGCATGCCCTGCCAGTGTTGGTGTGTGTGTGTGTGTGTGGGTCGTCCCCCCTGGTAATTCCTTGATTAGGGTATTGTTTACTGCTACTACTCAAGATTGAGCTACATATATTCTCTTCTGTTGATCCCCTTCATCCATCATGCACAAGGCCTGAGCTTCTGTTGAGGCACCTCTCTTCTTCTGGAAGATAAAAATCATGTATTGGATTTTTAGAAGTTCTGTCTATAGATGTGTAGAGAGGTTGATATTCCTACAGCTTGAACTTCTCAAAACCATAACATGAGTTTCAGTGCCAAGGTTAGGATTAAAGATCTGTGTCTTGGGATACCAGATGTCCAGGGCTGTATGAAACATGAAGCTTTTAGAGAGGCTCCTCCAGCAGACCACCAAGGCCCGGTAAAGCAGAGGTTCAGGGGAAGTGATTGACAATTCATTTTCCCTGGGTGTTTTTACAGATATGAATGGAGAGGATAGCAGGGATTCTGCCAATTACTTCTGTGAAACTTCCCCACATTATAATGTGTGGAGGCAGCAACACTGACCCCATTGCCAAGGCCCAGTAGAAATAGACTGTGGGGGCAGTGCTTTTCATAGTGACATATTTTTGTCCTGATTGAAGGACAGGAGGAAAGCAAGACACAAGGAAGAGCTCTAAGAATGATTCCTATTATATTCAGCTTTTTGTTTCTGCTGATGCACTCCTCCCAACTCATTTTTCATAATACCCACTATCAATCTACCAGCATTTTCATATCTTAAAATTTCTCCATCCATTTCCCCATCTTTAGTTATAGCCCAATAAATGACAGGATAGTATCTATTAAAATCAGTGGATATCTATTAAGCTTCAATTTCAGGCAGGTATGTGCATCTACTACACAGGAAGACATTGAAAAATGTTTTAGCAAATTTTAAGAGATGGATTAGGCAACATCAGGGAATTGTTTAGCTCTCCTAATGGGTGATTGGAATGGCAGAAGTAGGGGAATCGTGGAAAGAAATGGCTTGGGTAAATGCAGTGATGCAGGAGATAATAGAATTTTATTAAGAGAATTCTTTGTTTATTGCCAACATTTGCCTCAAATTACATAGACTATACATGTGGACGTCACTGCATGGATAATATTGGACACAAACAGACTACAAAATAGGAAACAGATGATGGAAAAATGCAATCCAGTTAGCAAAAACTCTTCCAATTGTGAAGCAGACCATGAATTGTTGGTGTCAGATGTACGGATTAAACTTGAAAATTAAATATAGTAGATGTATCAGCAAGATACGCCATGGAGAATATACAGTCAGAATACAAAATCAGTGTATGGAGCAGATTTAGTATGCTTAGCGAATGTGAAAGAGAACCTTAAAAACATTATGAAAAATGAAGGGGGGAGGGAGGAATCTAAAATTTCAAAGCAGAAAAGATCGAAGTGGCTTTTATAACAAGCTGTTGTGATAATCAGAGGAGGACAGAAAACAAAAGCCTTGGGCAACAAAAAAGGACACGATGACTGAATGTAGATTTCCACTGTCAAGCAAGAAAGAAGAAAAATATCAAGAATATTGACAAATAAAAATATCAAGAAAAGGGAGACCAGAGAAATCACAAGAAAATTAAGATTAAAAAAATATTGAAGAGTGATCATGGAAGTTAACTGATAGAGGCAAATGATTAAAGAAAGGTGGAAAGATTGAAACCCTTTGCAGATAGGAGTATAGAATGATAGAAACATAAATAGAGAATATATTCAGGGACCCATCTCTGCTAGAAAGTAAAATATAACCAGCAGTAGGCCAGCTGACAAATAGGGAGGATGCAAGTACAGATGAAATGCTCATTGAATAGTTTAAAGTTGCAAGAGAAGGAATAGTTGAAGTGCCAACAGCTTTATACTAACAAATAAGGAACAACAGAGTGTGGCCTAATGACTGGGAAAGATCAGTGTATATAGCTATACCAAAGAAGGAAGATGTAAGAAATGCACAAATTACTGTATCATTACACTAATTCCTGACAAAACCAGACATTCATTCATTCATTCATTCATTTATTTATTTATTTTCAGGCTTGTAT